CGTCCAGTCGCGTTGACTGTTGATACAGTGGCTAGGGTTTACCACCGGACGATGGGCTATGTCCGGTCGAGGTGGACCGGACGCATCCGGTCGAGGAAAACCAGGTTTTGACCCTTACTGTACTCGACCGGACGTTGAGGTTCCAACGTCCGGTCAATTTTAACCGGAGCGTCTGGTCAGCGTCATAGCCGTTGGAATCTGACAAACAACGTTTGAAGCCAATGACACATGGCGTCCATCTGTGGACCAGACGCTGAGTCCAGGGTCCGGTCAAGTGGACCGGAGCGTCCGGTCAGAGCGCAGAGTACCCAGTGAAGGGGTACAACGGCTCTATTTCATGGGGGCTTCTATTTAAGCCCTATGGCCGGCTGTGGCTCATATCTTTGGCCATTTTCATTGACATAGCAACCTTGTGAGCCTAGCCAAAGTTCTCCCACTCATCTACATCATTGATTCATCATCATAGTGAGATTGGGAGTGAATCCAAGTGCATTGTTTGAGTGATTGCATCTAAAGGCACTTGGTGATTGTGTTTCACTGCGGATTTTGCTTGTTACTCTTGGTGGTTGCCGCCACCTAGACGGCTTGGAGCAGCAAGGATCGTTGAGTGGAGGAGGTGATTGTCTCCGACTCCGATCATGGTGATTGTGAGGGGTTCTTGACCTTTTCCCGGCGGAGCGCCAAAAGGTACTCTAGCAAATTGCTTGTGGCTTGTGTGATCCTCATCTTGTGTTGGTTGTGCGGCACCCTATTGAGGGTTTGGCGAGTGATGCCAATCAGCGCGTGAACCTCCAAGTGAGTGAATCGCCACAACGAGGACTAGCTTGCCGGCAAGCAAGTGAACCTCGGTAAAAATCATTGTGTTCATCATTTGATTCTGAGGTGATTGGTCTACATTGGTATTCATTATTGTGATTGATTGGTTCCTACAACTACACGGCGGTATAACTCTCTTGCTCACTCTTACATTACCGCAAACTAGTTATCAAGCTCTTTAGTGTAGCTAGTTGTGAGAGCTTGTTTGTTTGATTAGTGTTGCTCTTAAGTTAGTCTTTGAGAGCACACTAATTTAGCTAAGTGTCATAGCTATTGTGTGGACATACACTATTCAAAATAGAATTGTGGTAGGTGGCTTGCATTTTAGTAGGCTAGCGCAACACTCGCTTCGCCGCAAAATTATCTAACACATTTTGTTAAGTGTTGTTGTAGAATTTTATTAGGCTATTCACCCCCCCTCTAGCCATTAGGACCTTTCAGGGAGGCCGTTAGGCCACCCGGGTCGGTCTTCGGAACGACCTAGGCATCTGCCGGGTTGCAGATAAAGGAGTAGTGGAATGTCACAAGAGGGCTATGCCGACCCCGTCATGAATGATGGACCAAGATTCCGCTCGATCACACCCGTTAGCGAACTCACTGAGCTAGTCTTCGAGCCCGAGCGATCGGGACAAGCGACGAAACTCAGTCCCTCCGGTTGTGAGGAACCGAGGATGGGGTAACGCACACAACTCACATCGACCCCCACGAAGGTTCGATAGGGCTCGGGGGCTCAAGACAAACGCCAAGGACAGCGACCTCGAACTCGCCAGATCCACGACTCCGACTCGCCCGGTCCCACGGCGCGCACCGACGCCAGGATCCTCGAGCACCGCCTCGTTCGATCTTTAACTAACTAACTACGCTTCGGTTCCATCCGGCTTCACTTCCGACTGCACTCCAGACTCATGGGACCGCGACCCTAGACTCGCGTCATACGGCTTCACATCCGACTACGCTCCAGACTCCTAGGACCGCGACCCCAAACTCGCGCCATACGGCTTCACTTCTGATTGCGCTCCAGACTCCTGGGACCGTGACCCCGAACTCGCGTCATACGGCTTCACTTCCGACTACGCTCCAGACTCCTAGGACCGCGACCCTGAACTCGCATCATACGGCTTCACTTCTGACTGCGCTCTAGACTCCTGGGACCACGACCCCAAACTCGCGTCAAACGGCTTCACTTTCGACTACGCTCCAGGCTCCTGGGACCATGACCCCGAACTCTCATCATACGGCTTCACTTTCGACTACGCTCCAGACTCCTTGGACCGCGACCCCAAACTCGCCTCGTCAGGATCCATGAGCTCTAGCTCGACCGATTCCTAAACTAACTAAACTAACTCTCTCGATCCACGGCGCGCACCAACGCCTGGGTCCGCTCGCGACTCTACCTTGCCCGACCCCACGGCGCACATCGACGCCACAGATCAGCGAGCTCTGTCGCATCCGAACTAAGCTGTCTCCATCCGTGACTCGCACCGACGCTAGGGTTTGTCCCAAACTAACTCCCTCACCCGATCCCACGGTGCGCATCGACGCAAGGATCAGTGAGCTTTCTCACGTCCGAACTAACTTTCTCACCCGATCCACGGCGCGCATCGACGCCGGGATCAGTAAGTTCTGTAATCCAATCCCCGCGCCTAAACACCTCGTCTGCACAACGACGCCTTGGTTAAACAAAAATCCGTCTTAGACTAAAAACATGCACACACGCCCACTAAAACATCACCCCCAGATGGTTCTGCCCGAACCACCCGAGGGCTACACCCGTGGGTGCGCTCGCGCGCACCCGCCAAACAACAGAAAAACCTCCCCCGCTGACAACGTAGAAACCCCCCCCAGCCGGTTCTGCCCGAACCACCCGGGGGCTCGGGGGCTACACCCGCGGGTGCGCTCGCGCGCACCCGCCAGTAAGACAAAAATCCCTCGGACGATTCTGCCCAAATTGCCCAGGGGCTCGGGGGCTCCTGTCGGGTTCATAAACCCGGGGTCCCTCGGGGACCGGCTTCCACGCCAAGGCTCGACCCGAGAGTCTAAAAACAACAGGGCAAAGGGGTGGTCCAGCAACCGACCGGAGGGTCTGGCCCAAGAAGAGCAACGCCCGCTCATCAACTACTTCGGCCCATCTATCCGACCGGAGCGCTCACTTCGGGCTCCAACCGCCTCCGGACGGCCTCTCCGATCGGAAGGCCTACCCCGAGCCCTACTTCTGACTCCGACCCCGTGTCTCTCCGACCAGGGTACGTAAGAACCCTGCTCGCCTCTCTTCTCCGATCGGCGCAACCGAAGCCGACTAGGGCCATCCGACCGGGGACGCCCGCTCGAAAGGGACTAGGGACGAACGGAGAAGGTAGCACGCGAGTCAAACCACGGTACAGGGACCATACCCTGTACACCTGTGGGAACAGTGCTCCACAACCACCCTGACACAAACAGTATTGTAGGCACCGACATTTATCCCTACAGTATTGTAGGCGTCGTTGGACTCCCGTACGGCAAAAAGCCCCGCACATGCCTCTGGGCATCAATAGTGTTGTAGGCGCTGGGATTCACCATGCTCGGTAAATGTGGTGAGGCTCCTCACGTGCCTCTGGGCAAGTAGTATTTTTGCAGGTACCGACATCAACCCTTCCTAAAGAAGACATTGTAACCTCTCACGTGCACCTGACATTCTACATTGACATCAACAGTATTGTGGGCGCCTACTATTATCCAATCCTCGTCGGTATGGGCAACAAAGCTTAAAGGCATCCGTACCCTTTCCCTCTCACCTGTAAAGACCATCCATTCATCTATAAAAGGGGATGCACTCCCTCCAATAGGAGGGGGATTTCATTGAAGCTCAGTTCCTTTAGATTCATTAGTCCAATAGCTCACAACCACAGAACCGCCAGGTTCGGACCTCAAGCACACGCTTGAACACTTAGCTCATAGCGGAGTTCCTGACGCTCTCGGCCCTTCCGACCAGAGCCGACCGGGCCTCTGGTACCCCCCATCTTTCTCCTTCTCGTTTGTAACCCCACTGCAGACTTCGAGCACCTGGGCTCGGGAATAAAGTCACCAACCGACCCAAACTGGACGTAGGGTACGTTGCCTGAACCAGTATAAATCCCGTGTCATTGAGTACTAGGCCACCTCCGATCACAACGTATAGCAAAACTACAAATATTCGCTAGTTGGTCACTTTCTGTACCGACAATATGTCTTGGAGCTTCTTGCTCTTAGGTACTTATAGAGTACCTAGGAATGGTCATATCAACGGGAACCATTCCAAACTGTGGACTAGGGACCAGGTGTCTGCTCCAGTAAACAAACTTAGATGGGTTATGGTTAGACTATCATCCAGGTAAAGACACTAATGAAGAATCAACAAACACTGCTACATAAATGATTTTGCGATGCGGTGCACTTTTATTAACGGAGGCGGGCTGGCTACGCGGCCGCCTTTGTTAATCAGTGGCAGGGCCACTAGCCAGACGACTGCCTTGGTTAATGATTAACGGAGGCGGGCCGCATAGCCGCCCATCTCGGTTAATCCTCAATTACCCGAGGCGGTTGCCTTACGAAAACTGCCTCCATTAATTGATTAACGGAGGTGGGCAACGTAAGGCAATCGTCTCGGTTAATCATGGATTAACCAAGGTGGGCGCTTTATGCGGTACACCTCCGTTAAACAATTAACGGCAACCGCCTCGGTTAATCACAAATTAACGGAGGCGGTATCCCTTAAGATGCCTGCCCCTGTTAATCCATCTTCTTCCTCACGGCTTCTCCTCCATTTTTTCAGGTTTTGAGCTCCAAAACCACAAAAATTAACCATTTTTATTGGGGGAGTTTTGAAGAAGCACACCACAGGAGGTTGCTATACGCCCATATCGGCCTGTTCGCTTGAACTTATTAGCCGGCTTATCAGCTAGAATTTACAGTATTTCTCTCTCACAATAAAACAGTTTCAGCCGGCTTTAATACCAGCCGAACAAGTATTTTTTCAACATTTGTGCCAGTACCTTGGGCTGTTTTGCAATTTTTCCTTTATTCATAAACAAACATATGGCTGCATGATGGTCGGTAATAAGTAAATTCCTGGGGCAAAATACACACGCACTTTATTTACTACTAGCTACTCCATCCACGTGCGATATCGCCACGCTTATTACGTGTATACATACTAGCTGTACTCCTCATGGGCAGAGCACGATATCATAGTTGGAGCCCCGTGGGCAGGTGAAGGTGCTGGTCTGGTCGTCCTTGGCGTAGCTGTAGGCGTCCGGGCACAGCCTCTTGAAGAACCTGGAGTAGTCCGTGGGCGGGCACTTGTCCGTGTACGGGCCCCGGCAGCAGTAGGTGTCGCCGCCGAGCTTCTCGCACGCGCTGGCGCAGCCGCCGGGCACCTTCAGCGCGGCGGGGCACTGGGCGTTGACGTCGGCCTTGCAGCTCGGCCCCTTGCCGCCGCACTGGAAGGACATGGGCACGTTGAAGCCGTCCACCAGGGAGATGTCGATGTAGTCCGGCCCGTTGTTGTTCAGCGTGTACTCGGCCAGCGTCGCGGGGGTTCTTCCGGACACGGTGCACGCCAGCGCGCCGCCGCAGTCCCCCGTCTGGCACGTCCCGCGCCCGCTGCCGTCGAAGGTGCACCCCGTGCGCGCCCACATCCGCGCGTGCGCCGTGCCCGCGGGGATCTGCACGGTCCACGTCTTGCCCGGGTCCAGCCGCGCGCCGCCGCCGGGGAGCGCCGCTGGCCACAGCGTGTCCTTGCAGCGGTTGATGACGTTGAAGGTGGCCGCGTCTGCGGCGGAGGCGGCGAAGAGGGCGACGACGGCGAGGAGGAGAACGGAGGACGATGACTTGGCCAGAGACGACGCCATGGTGGTTGATTTTTTGCTAGCCGTGCACGGTAGTGCACGTACTGTCAGTCGGTCGCTCACAAGCAAGTTCTGAAGCCCAGATGTGTGCGTGCGTGCTGTGACTTGTGAGCATGGAGGAGGAGGTTCATGTGTTGCTGGGTATTTATAGATGCATGCGGTGCGTCCGGTTGGTAGCATGGACTGTATGGTGTGGTTGCGTGTGGAAAATTCCGAACAAATTCCACAAGATAGATCATGCGTTCGTGTTTGGCATGCTGTGGATGAGGTGTACAGTGTACTACAGCTATTGATCAGGTCAACAGGTCTACGCCCCAGATTACACGTTGTAACTCTACGTACAGTCGAGGCCTCGAGGGTACAGAAATGCTGCTCTTCCGATCCAGCGGTGCGGTGAGAATAGATCAAGGGGTGCCGCAGCGCCGGTTAGGCTTGTTACGTGTATGGCTTGGTACCTTGGTCCTGCACCGGCCGGCACGCAGGCACGGCCAAATCAACGTGTCAGGGCGGCAGTACGCATGGTCGGGCTTCGTCAATGAAGACTTTGGAATATGGAGCCGTAGGCGACCCATATATGGTCCAAGTTTGTTCATGTCCGGGCACCGTTCGTACCAGAGATGATTTGGTTAAAAGGAATTAGAATGTTTGTAAAATTTGTTGCTTTTTGGTAACCTTGTTATAAAACCAAATCATCCGACACTTGTTCTTTGCATATCACTAACTAGGATAGTTTTATGATAAAAAAAACTAGGATAGTTTTCTATTGGCATACTATACATGTTCCACCACCACATAATATAACATGCATGATTATAAAAACGAAAGATAAATGAGAAGAACCGGTGATCTGGCCAATACAATAACTAGTACTACTACACAATGCAATAATAATTACAACATCAAGAAAGAGAGATGGAGAGAGAGTAATGTTTTTTATTGCTTATGGATGGTTTTTTAGTGTCAAGCCTTATCCTTGCTTATGCGCCACCTTCCGTCACAGAGTGAGTGAACACCGGCAAGGCGGGCTCTTTAGAGAGGAGAGAGAGTAATGCCGGTGATGGTTTTTTTTGGCTTATGCCGTTCGCTTGTCTTCATGGCGGCGAGCCACTAGAGGAGGCGCAGTCTCCTCCATGGCGAGCACAAGGTTTAGCTAGCTCTCCTTCTTCGCACTCGCTAGCAGGGCCATGGAAACTCATGATTGGGATTTGGGCAGCAATGGAACGGTAGCAGCTGGGTGGAGCGAGCACTGCTTGCTACTATATATATTTGTTGGGGTTATGATACCCCGGTATCGTAAGGCATCGATTAGTTAGTCACTCGGGCGGCCCACGACAAACAAGCTAGTACATGCCCAGGCAACCAAAGCCCAATTAAGCTACGAAGGCCTGGGCCAAGTGCTAAGACATGCGGGTCAACCACGATCTCTTCTCTCTCCCTTCACCATACGTTTATAGCTCCGCACGACCTCTCCTCCGTCCCGACCCCTGGGAGGGATAGAGAAGGGTCGGGCTCCATCAAGTACGCCTGCTCTGACCAGGGCAGGCATGCCCCACTCACTCTGCCAGGATCGAGGGGACAGTTATCCCCTCGGTCCGGACAAACGCCATCCCTACACCACACCACGCAAATAAGACAGCACTGCGGTGACGACAGGAGTACGATGAACCACCGTCCAAATATGATCCAACGAGACGGGCATACGGCCCCACCCACCGCGGGATGGGACTCACGACTACGGCCTTGACTCTCAAGGCCAGATAAGCCAACAAAGGCCACGACCCTAGAGCTCGGGATCGTGGCCACCGGCACCACGACCAGCAAGACAGCCGACGCCCCGGGCGGCTACCTACTCCCGTACGACGCCCCGGAGGACCAGGAGATGATGACGAAGGCCACAGCAAGACCGCGTCGTACGGGACGGCTGGCGAACCACCACCGTGCCAACAGTGCCAATATGGCCAGCACTGTAGCACCAGGCTGCCCCATGCCACGACATGGACAGAAGACCATGACGACAACCACGTTCGGGCGTGCGCTGACATCAAGACAAGACGGCCTTCCTTGCAAGCCAAGATAGTTAATTTAGAGAATGGAGACTTTGGAGAATGGAGACGTAGGCGACCCAAATATGGTCCAAGTTTGTCCATGTCCGTGCAAGAGATAATTAATTTAGTTAAAAAAGGAATTAGAATTTAGTAAAATTTGTTGCTTTTAGTAACCTTATAAAACCAAATCATCCGACATTTGTTCCTTGAATATTATTGACTACGATAGTTTTATATTGGCATACTATACTATACTATACATGTTCCACCACCACAAGATTCAGGTCATTTGCTTAATTCATGGTTTAACCTGTGGGTCAGAAATGTAATTGCTGGTATTTATTTACAGGAGTTGCAGCGGTTTATTAGGCAATTTAGTTCATACGTAAATAAGGAATGATATCGTGTTTAATAGTGATGCACCAAAAACTTGTTTGTACTAGATAGTACTGGCTTTGATTCTAGGCTACTGAAGTCGCAACGCATTATTATTGATGATCGATCAGAGAGGTTGGTTGATTAAAGAGTGCCGAGTTTCAAAGTCAAGATTCAAGAGACATATAGTTCTTTGCGTCTCACTAACGGCTTTTTATATATTTCATACTGAGCTTTGTATTTTTTAAGTGTCGATTTTAGTCATGTCTATATATAACAATACTATTGTACTGATGCCTCCTCATGAGCGAAGCTGCCTTGTGTACAGGGGTCACCCCAAATTTGCAAAAAATAGTGAGTTTGATTAGAATTCCGCCATATATGCACCTTTATGAGACATGTCCATACACCCACGAGACAAATACACCTCTCTATAATTTGCTATAGCTTCGCCAAAAGTTTCGTACCAAAACTTTTTTGCGTATTATATGTTAAAAAAATCTGCACCGTTCGTACCAATACCAAGTGGCAAGTTCCCACGCGCTAGCCGCATGTTGCCGTTGGCGTAGCCGCAAGACCCGGCGGGATCGATGAGATGCATGGCCTCATGGGGCATGCATGTCCGCGGCAGCTAGCCACGTACCCACGCCGACTCGATCTATTTTCTTCACCCAGCCGGAGAATTCCTACCCGGGATGTTCATGCAACATGCATCGTCAATTCAACGGTCAAGAGAATTAAAGCTATCTCTATCTCTATCTTCTACAAAGACGTCGTCTAACCGGCAGGACGAAGGAAGGCGCCGATTCCTTCACCCCGGCGTTCCACCGTTCCCGTTCCCCAAGGATAAATTTCTTTGTTGCACATTTTGTAGTAGTTTTTTAAGAATTTTTTTGTTGTTGCACTACTGTAGTTATTAGGTTTTGAATTCATTTATATACCAATTCTTCATCGAGGAATTGAAGACTCTTCATAGAAGCAGGTTCATTGACTAATGAAGCACTTTAAGAACTATACGATCGCTAAGCTTTGTAAGAACGTTCATTATTCCCATTTCAAGAATCCAATCAAGAAAATGAAAACATTAAGTATTACTAAAAAAGTTGTCATAGTTGGATTTGAGAGCAAAGTGCTTCATGGATAACTAATAATAAACTGATTGTTAGTTTGTGCCCACTCTCATATCTTGGTTTTGGCAAATAGTAAAATAACAAACACAATACAGATGATAATAGGCACAAGACATATAGTGCCCATAAAAGACCAAAAAATTGTGAAAAGTTATATTGCTCCAGCTTTTTTTTTTTTTTTTTTTGAGGGGAAGTTATATTGCTCCAGCTACAATGCCCAAACAAGGACAAGTCCAGTACAGGTACAGTAAGAAAAGTCTAGCTCCAACGTGCAAGAACTGTTAGAGGCCCATCTACAGGCTACCGTATGGGCCAAGGCCTATTTTGCATGGCTAGGTTGTGGCTCAGGTGTGCAACGAAGCTGCTAAACAGGCCGGTTTCTCAAAAAAAAAAAATACATGGGCAAAGCTACCGTTTGGACACGATCTGCCTATTTTTTCCTTTGGAAAAATTCCCTTTGACTTCCTCAACAATTATCAAAATCTCATTTACCTTATCCATGTGAAAAATTGTATGTTTGTGTCTCTCCAAATCTTGATACTGTTGTTTCATCCTAAACGGTTTCAATAGTACCACATCGTTGTTCCTTTTCTGGCGAAGCCCGCGCGCAGCGCCTCCTATGCAGAAAGCTTGGTTTTGGAGAGGCGTCTCCCCTTGAGCATGCTTTGCAGGAGTACCTATCCTTATTCAAAGGCCCTCTCCCTCAAGGCATCATCAATGCTCTAATCACCCTTTTCAACCTGGACAAGACAACTTTTGAGGCGCGTGATCAGGCCTTAATCAACATGGCGGGTCCAGAAGTTGCTGATCTCATTGAAGGGGAAGTGGAGGCCGGTACGGCCAGTACAACCTGATGGACTCCATCACCTCCCTTGTATCCTGGTGTCCGGCGGCTTCCTTAATGTTTCAAATGTTGTGTCGTGTTGTTTCAGAGGGTCTACTGACTACTGTGTCCTAGTCTGGAGTCGTCGTGCTCCTCCATTATCAATTTCAGTGTCGTCTGTGTTAGTGAAGACCCTCATGTCCGTCCTAGACTACTTCAGTTCCGCCGCCGTGTCTACTTTTGTACCTGTTTGCAGACTACTTCAAGTGCAAAATCTACAACCCATGGGCTTCAGTATGTCTGTATTCTTCACTTTGCTGGGGCGAGGTCTTCGTGCTTCGCATTTTCACCCGTACTTGACTGCATTATGCTTTGGCGCTCGTGGATGCAACTGTACTTTTATTTTGAGAAGCAGACCCTTTCCCAATGGCTGCCAACATCAACATAGCGTGTTGGAATGTGAGGGCTGAACTCGCAAGCCAGAAAAGCGACCGTGCATGAGATTCTTGCTGCGACAAACATTCATCTAGCATGTTTACAGGAGACCAAGCTGAGAGATGTCGATCAAGCTACAGCAGCTTACCTAGGGAATTATCGGCTTCAGAAGTTTGCCTTCTCACCGGCAACAGG